GAGAGAACCGTCGGTGAGCTGCCGCACCGATCGAGTGGAGAGAGGAAGGAGTGCCGCGATGTCGGGGTGCGCGGGAGAAACGTGAAAGAGAGCGTTGTGAACCGGCGATATATTGTCTTTCTCTCTTTCCCACGTCACGTTCCGGCCAATTTCGAATTTTTAATTGGACAACGAGATATTTACTCCCGATTCTTTCTCTCTTTGCGCTTTTTTTTTCCGGTTCGCAAGCGATATCGACCGACTGGTTAGGTCATTTTACATCTCTTATCTGAGAACTTTGTGGAGAAATCGGTCGCTCTTTTATCGGGACACGTGTATATAATATCAAGGAGAGCCTGATGGAATTTGAAATTTGCAATTTATTCAAAGAGAGAATTCCGATATAGAGGTTATATTATAGGATATATATTATGAAGGAGAGGAGGAAAGAAAAAATGGCAAAAAGAAAAAAAGGATCTCTGTGATCGCCGCTGATGCCGACCGGCATTCCCGAATCAGGTTTTACTTGTCTGACATTTCGGCGACCGACCTCCTAATTCTTGTTACAGGGGAGGTCCAAGGCATCCTGGTTCGTCGACCAGACATTTGATATAGAAGAAAAATGATCGATGATATTAATATACTTCCTTATTTCACATTAGAAATTATAAATAATAATTTGATTTGATGGTTTATAGATAATATATGGTAATATAGATAATTAAATCCTTTTATATAAGTGTAAAAGAGAAAATTTTCTTTACTTAATTAAATAAATAAAAGTAAACCTCGATAATTTTCTATAAATATGAATATATATTTCAAATTTAAAGCATGCGTATTTTAATCAATAATAAATCATATTGTTTGCAATTTTAATCCAATCAAATCCTCTCGTTAAACAAATTAAATTTAAAGCACGAAAATACTTTAAGCTTTATTTTAAACACTTATAATCTTCTAATCGATAAATTTCAAAAATAAATCCAATCGAATCTTTTCACGAATTAAAAATATAAAAGCGAATAAATTTAAAGTTTTTACTTTACGTGCAAACTTCTAGAAATCGACTTTTCTTTTTTAAAAAATCTTGAAACGATAGAAATTATCGATAAAAGTAAAAGTCCTAAGAGTGACCTAATGCATTTGCTACGATACTTATCAGAGCACCGGCCTCTCCCACGCGGCCCGAACTTAATGAACGAATGAATGAATGAATGAGTGAATGAATGAATTACGTCACACGCCGGAGATGCACTTATACGTAGAACAGAGCGTAAAGAGTTCCTGTGCAAAAATAGGCGCCCACTTAATTTCTCGAGGGAAAGTCGTGATTATATATAGGACATCGAAAAAGAGAGAAAAGGAGAGAGAATATTGCTAAATCAAATCGAATATAATAAGAAAATAGGAAAGAAAACGTTTTTTGCTTATACTTCAAGAGTATACCAAATTCACCTGCATACAAAGCTAACACACAAAGCGAAACTGAATTGTTTTACAAAAACCGCAAGGACCGTTACGCGTTTCATGATGAAACCGCATTTCAGTACTATCAGAACATAAAGTATATCTCGGTCGGAGTCATATTTTATTTTAATAACAGGAATTCATGGCCATATTGGTCGCGTTTCTTTTCTATTTTCGTTACGTAGCTAAAAATCGGTGCAAACAGCGCTAAGATAAATACGTATAGATTAACGCTTGTGTAATGGGCATGACCAAGCACTTTCCTTCTGATGAAAGATCCGACGAGTTACTCCGTAACTGGCTCGAATCGAATCAGAGCGTGAAGAAAAATGGCCCCAAAGTGAAAATGATACCGCGAATTTCGCGATGGCCGCGTGCCACAGACTTTCTTCGAACCGCTTCGCTGCTTTCGCCGATTCGCTGAAATCGAAAACTTGGACGAGCGTACACGCGTCGTCCATCCTTCATTGCACGCACGCTGCACCCACTGAATTCCAGAATCGAGCGAGCCCCATCGAAGAGGCCTGCGATAACCGACGACAAACCGTACATTTTTATGAGGCGTTAGATAGAGCCGATCTCCGCTCGCGTTCCATCGCGGCACACACAATTTTCCAAGAACCTTTAACCGGGGAATTTGCATGAGAAACGGAACGAAGTTCACACCAGGTTCGTCACTGCCGATGCAAAAAGAAAAGACTGAGAGGGATTGCGTGCGAATACCACGAAAAGAAAGAGAGAGAGAGAGAGAGAAAGGAAAATCTAGACGTAAGGGGAACCGGGATCTTCGTTGAATGTGTCTCGAGGATCACAGGATCGTACCAATATACTTTGACACCTCGTTACAATGAAGAAACTCGAGAGGATTCGGATAGGGTACACGGTAACCCTTTTTACGAGAAGAGAAAGTCGTATCGGTGACAGATACGAAATAAAAAAAAAAAAAAAGAGAATCTTGATCAAAATATCGAGGCTCTTCTGTAAGCTCTTCTTTTTTTATTCAGGTTACGATAAATTTGAAATCTTCTCGATGAAATTAGATATGTATCTTTCGAAATAAAAAAAAAGAGAGAACCAAAGGAATATCGAGATTTTTTCTTTTATTCAGATTGCGACAAATTTGAAATTTTACCTATTTCAAATAGTATGCAAATTTTACGACATCTTGGAGAAACTTCTGACCGTAGGGGGTCAATTATAAAATCGAGCCGATCGTAGATGAATGAAAAGAAAAATATTACAATCGTGTATTTTATGTATTTTCCATCGTTTATAACAGCGTAATAAAAAGATTTAGGACTTAGTCAAACGACCTTCGTTCAATATAGTATTATAAAGATGATTTTTAATAGACCTGATAGATCAATCAATCAATGATTCTGGTAAAAAATACGATTCGTAGCAACAAAATAGCTTCCAAGAATCGACTATGAATAATGTCTCAAGAAAATTAATTTACTGGATGATTAATCCTTTGGATCTGATTCTATCAGAATCTATAAGGTAATTTCGAGGAATTCTATGATCAATCTTTCCGTAATGAGAATTTCCCCCTTCTTATCCGGTTTTTTATGCAGTCGGAGTTTACGTGGTACTTATCGGCACTTACATAATTAATGGCGCTAAACAGCTGTAATTGGCGCCGCACGTAACGCGCATACACTTGCGATAACATTGTTCGATCAAACGTGTACGAGGAAAAAAATAAGTTCATTATCGTTGTCACATTGACGCGCGTGCGTGAAAATCGTTAATTTAACGAAGAAATTGCAGCGAAAACTTTAACTATTCTTTGTGTATGCATTATGCAAATATTGATATTTCTAACGCGATACTTTATGACGCGAAATACACGCTAACAACGAGGCATGCGGAAGAACGCGTGAGCTCGCGGTTGTCGCGATTTCTTGGTAACAATAAAACTAAATCTTCGCGTTCAAATGAAATTAACGTTTACAAATATATTGACAATTTGATAATTTGCTTTGCTTAACTAGAAATCAACCGCTTATCAACAAGATTCTTTTGTACTCAACTAATCAAGACTTTATAAATTATAATCTAACTTAAATAACTTTACAAAAAATTAAACCTATCTTTATTACAATTATCTAAAAAAAAAAAAACTATTATAGCTAAAACTTTTGCGTTTGTATTTTTTTGATACGGTATACTATTAGCACGGTTATCATGTCATAAAGATTATTAACACGTACTAATTGCACATACTCGAGTACACGAAAAAGCAATTGAACTGAAAAGTAGAAATGCCAAAGGGGCACTATAACCGTGTAACACGCCACTGGAGTTATCCCTCACCGCGCAACTGCGGCGCGAATGGCAAAAAGGCTTAACCGCATTCCGGCGACCATTTAAACCGCCGCGGCGGGGTCCCACGCTTGACCGCAAGCAGCGAGTCGACCGGCCGGCCGGCTATCGATTGACGTCACTTGGTACCGCGTGACCTTCGAGTTCCCGCGCGATTAACTGCGCATGCTCGAATGATCCTGCTCCATCGGATATGCACCTGCAAATACGAGCCGCGTATCCACGAATGCATCATTAATGCATTGCAAAATGCGATGCGATAAGATTCGAACGTCTCGCTTTCTCGCTATCGATCTTGTTTGTTTGAATTTTCCTATTAATTCCTACTTTTTTTTATTGATATATTTATCGTTTTTATCGTTCAATACGACAGGAGATAAAAGGTGTAATCGATTGAGAGGTTATAAACGTTGTTAGAAGGGTAAGGCTGGATAGTAAAAGCTAGCCGGCAGTAAATGACCGGTTAGATACCGCAGACGTCACGCAGCGTGGCGCAAGCCCCCTAGTCCGCGACGCATTGCTCGTATGAAAAAGATGCGCATGCGTTCTTCCTCGTCATGCCTCTTCGGTATATAGCAACCCTGACTTTTACCTTGTCTCTCTCTTTCAAGAATTGCTCAATTTAAAGCATGCGCGGTCAAATGAAATCTTCCGTAATACTGCTTATTCTATTCTTTTCAAATAGAAACGTTTCTTTGGATAAATGAGGGAATTGAAAACTACTAGAATAAATGATAAACCTTCGTATTATCTCAACTATTAAGAGCAGTCTGAAAAAAGAAAAAATAGATTATCGGTTGCCTCATACTGATTTTAAGGGTGAAAAAATAATCCCGTGAACTCTTGAATAAATCAGATTATATAAGAAGCAACAGTGCAGAGGTCCCAGATATCAAAAACGGATGCTTTCTTGTCCAAATTGTTCAGATCTCATAATCAGGAATTATATAAAAGTGAAAGCTGATTATATGTACATATATATTTTCTGAATCCTCCTTCCAAAATAAGTATTTTAGTTGATATTAGAATTTTTCATTCATTAATTTCACTTTTATTTTGATTCATCATCACATCAAAGACTTCTTTCTTTTCTTTTTTCTTTTATTCTGCAAATCAAACAAAAATGATTGTTAAGAAAGCAATATTAAGTAATCATTAATACATTTAACGAGGTCACATCGTTTATTCATGGTCGTGCACCGGTTTCTCGTCGTTTCACTGACCTGTCTGGCCGCGGTCAAAAGTAGCCATTTGCAAGTCGTGGCCCTGGCAATTACCAATTACGAACGGTGACACGACTACACGAAGGCCGAATCTACGGTGTGTCCGGTCGCACGGTGCTGTCTTCTTGATCCATTAAACGGTCCCGATCAGGAAACGGCGTATAGCTTTTATAAGAGGTCGACGTTCGTACACGCTCAAGAATTCTCTCACCGTTTCGCCGCCTGCGCATTCTCCTCTCCCGTTCTCTTCACCCACTCAGAAAATTCAATCGCGTCGATCAAACGTTACAGTCAATTATCCCGGTCTCCCAGTTCGATCGATACCGTCGAATCACATCCGTGATCGTTAACGTATCGCGACGCGAATCATTTCGATTCCAATTGAATGATTGAAAGCTTTTCGCGATCGATCAAAACAATTTATCGATTATATTTATTCAATCCGTTATTCGATTAACATATATTTTAATATAAATCGGAATATCTATATTCTATTCAAAATTTATTTCTTCTGTTCAGTACCATTATAAAAAGCTTTTTCTACCTATATTTCTAGCTATTTTTTGTAGGAATCAAGTAAAAAAAACACATATTATAACATATTTTTTCACTTTGTTAAACATAACCTCTAATCAAAACCAATATCATGAAATATCGACATCGAAAATTAAGACAACTCGCTGAAAGCGTATTCGAAATGTCACATTGTATCGAGTGCATCGTAAGCATGACGTAGAAAAATAGAAAACAGAACAATATACATACTATGTACAGTCTAGTATGTGCAATGCCGAGATTCAATTTGACGTGTAATCGAAAGAAAAGACTGTGCGCGCCGCTAAGTGTCAGGTCACGTGCGCGCGCATGAAGTGTCGCTGCACACGTGCACACGAATATAGGCGGCATGCAACTATGTGCGGGCAAAGCTGCGCGGTCGTTAGGCGACTCTTTCCTCGTCATGCTCTCCTATCATACCAGCCACGTTACACGCGCGCAACGGCCATGTTCGAATATCATCGTACAGCATCGTGTGCGTGCATTCTCAGTACCTATAAAACAATGTTAAGATGTCGACATGTGGTGCAACATATTTTCAGATGGTAAATGGCACTATCTCCCTACCTATCTTAGACGAGACGACACTACGTGGCCTGAGCGAATTATGTGAGTCGCGCCAAATCGCATGTATACGTTCATCCCTTTTTCTCTTTAGAACTTTCTTGCTTTCTCTTCACAATCACTATAGTTAGATCGAACATTGCACAGAACGATGTCTTCACGAAGCTGTACGTGACGAGTCTTGAAAAGTGAGCACTGGAAATCTAATCACGAGGTGCTAGACCGAACAACCCAAATGACCACTCGAGGAATTCGCAGGACGCGTCTCCATTTTCTGCGCGCGCACATCTTTCTGCGCGAATCTGGATGCGCAGTGTCAGCATCGTAAGCGTTTCAAGAGACATATATTTTATGTCGTACCATGGATCATTAAAAAAGTTTTGAGAAGAAAATATAAATTATAGTAAAATGCTGGAAGTTCATAATTTAATAGAAATATATATTTGTCATATAATATAATAAAATATATAATATATAATTGTAAAATTCATCAAATTATTTTTTTACGCGTTAAAAATTTATATTTACAAAAAAAATCATTTTTTATCGTAATTGATATTTAATTATGAAATTCCTCCTAAGAAAAGAAGCCATTGATGGATATTTTGCAGATTTTAACGGCTTTAGAATGATTTCATAACTTGGAATAACGAAGTGTATTGAGATTTAAAGATAATATTGAAAAACAAAAATAAAAATAATATTTATTTCTACTTCAAGAACTTTTCAAATAATCCATGTATTTGTATACAATATAAACCAAAATATAGTGAGGTCGTAAATTAAATCATCGAGTATCTATAGTAAACAACTTCTTTATACTGCCCAATAATCATAGGCGAACTAGATAGTATTACTAAATTGTTCTTCTTTGAAAACAAAAACAATGATTTTTTTTCGTAAATCTTCCTCTTCCTTCAAAACTTCCATTATATAACTACTTTATACAATTGTACGTTTACTAAGAACTTATTCAGTTTTTCCCTTCCTTTTTTGCACCATATATATGACATTAAAAAATTTTTGTCTGTAAAAGAATAAATAAAGAAATTACCTAAAAATATCGATTTGTTTCACTATTTTAACACTAGATTCAATTAATGTTCTATTTAAATATCCATACAATAAGAAAATGACTTATTCTGATTATTAATTGAATTTACAACCTCGCTATAGTGTCAGTATATAAATAATACAGATTTATTATGTGTAATCGCACGTTTGTTCTTTTAATATTTTTTTGACAATATTTTAACGTTCTATGCGACACAAGACAAGCGCTTTCGCATATTTAGATATGCATGAAGTTATCGAAACGAACAATGATTGCAGCTTGGAACAAATATTAAATACTTATTGATATAAATATGTATACACCGTTTATTTTTAATGCTAATACTGAATATTCGTATATGTATATTTTGTGTAAAATTGACATAATACATTAAGTGATAAAAGATAAGGTAGGGAATTTTTAAAATTCTAAAGAATCGTAAGTGAAATTAATGAAATGTACAATACGTAAAATTATTATATTTACATAGTTAATATTTAGATATTTAATCAGCAGCTGCGTAATCATGTTATTTAAGATGATTACGTAAAAGTATTATATATATATATATATTTATATCAGATAATGAACTATAATAAGTCATCTAATTATTTTAATACGTTATAATAGACTTGTCTCGTTAATATTTCAATATATCAAATATTATATATCCAAATTCAATATGTACGAAAATTTTAAATTTAAAGTTTACTTCTTATTTTAATCCTTAATCCTTCTTTACCTTAACACCTATCTTGTACAAAATATTTTTTAACAATATCGATACAACGTGAGATAAATTCCTCGTGAGTATTTTTACAAAAGAAAATCCACCTTTAACACGCATTCTATGTAAAAGATTTTTCTGATGACATCGACGCAACAAGATAAAACATCAAATATTCCTCTCCTCCTTCCCCGATAGCAATCATCCTCGTCATTGAAAGCGAACAAACGTCGCGTATATAGCAATTAAATTACATTTACGTTTCCAATGACTATATGTATATTAATGTATAGGTTAACGTATAACCTTCGCCGTTATTAAACTAAAACGAACGGAATATCTCGTCCCGAGGCACGATGATAAGCATCTAAGGAAATACCGTTGTAAAATATTCACGAAAGCTGTGGCAACTCGCGTTATAGTATTCTGATAACGAGATCGCGCGCACACGCGAAAGGAGGGCCTTTGAACTGTTCTCTCTCTTTATCGACTCTTCGACCGCTTCATACATTGTAAATCTCTCTTCTCGAAGAAACCGAGAAATTTGACACAAGCGTGTTGCCTCTGAAAAATCACACCATTGCGAACAAAAACATCTCTGTTCGACACACCGACAACTGATTACTTTGCGAAAATATCATTTGCATCGTGGAACAAAAGACTTGCGCCTAACCCTTTGTCCTTCTATGTACCAATATACATATACGGTAAGCGAAAACGAAAACGGAAATAAAAAAAAAAGAAGAGAAAGAATTGTGAAAAATTCGTACTTCATCGTGCACACTAACGTGGATCAAATTATTTGTACAAACACGAAACGATATATTGTGTATATCTTGTGTGTTCAGGTTTTTCGAAAAAGAAACAGCCTATAGGCAGAATCGAAAATTCTCACGAGTTTCTTTCTCTCCTATCTCTTTCTTTTTTTCCTTTTTTATCTTTGTTCTTTCCCTTCCCCATCGAAGAATAGAACAACGAAGAAAGAAGGTTGTCGAGAGGACGTTAGCGTAACGACCATCGAACTTGGGTCTAAAACGAGTTTCTTTTCTCGATTGTGTCGCATTCACGACGCTGCCACGACGAATGACGAATAACCAAACGCGTGATTAGCATACTCATGCGGGTAACCGAATTCGGCGAACTGCACTCTCCCCGAGAGAAGAGTGTTGTACCGTCAATTGCACTCGATTAAGAGGAGGATCCTTCTTAGGTTCGACCTTGTCTTGCCTCCGTTTAAAAGGGTACAAAAGAACAAGATGAATAAACTCGTTGATCCTTTGGCGGATGGCTAAGATAAAACGTTATACCTCCGAGCAAGGGAATAAGCGGTATATTTGCACTACTTAAATTTCATATGTGAAACCGCGTATTGACCTATGAAAGTGAAATGATAATGATGTATGTAAAGTAAAATGATAAAGTAAAATGATTATTTTTTCAATCATTGAGATTAAATTTTTTAAAAATATAAATTTTATGAATATTTATAGAGGTCGATCTACTTTAATATTTTTAGAAGCATTATTAAATCTTAGCATGTTTCTCGTAAGTAATAGGTTTGTAAGAAAAGAAAGATAGAAAAAACTTTCATAAACTATTTGAATAGATTTTTAAAATCTTAACATTTTAGAATATTTCATGGTTTTCAAATAAAGATGAACAAACATGAATATTCTTGAATTGAGAATTGTAATATGTTTTGTATTATAACGTAAAGCGATTACTGAGACGAATTTTATAATCTACAACACAATATTATTCAATGTGACCAAAATATAAAAATAAAAAAAAAACGAAGAAATCGAAAACCATGACAAATTTTAAAAATTTCTTCAAACTGTACATATATGGAAAATAAAAGATCTTTCTCCATTTTTTTAAAAACCTATCACTCAAGAAAAAAATCACCTTATATTACTGTACAATCCTGGTGAAAAAGAATAAATCTTATGATCTAAAATCGAATTTTCAGTAGTAAAATAGACGAATATATTAGCAGTCTCCGACTATAATTCAATGTCACATCACGAATATTAAACTAATTAAACGTGCAAATAATTGATAATTAATAATGATCATTTCATAACATAATATCATAACAAAAAAGTATTATGCTATATATACATATATATATTTAATATGCTAGATATACATTTAGCATACTAAATATCAGAGATAGAATAGAATGCGATGACACAGCAGAAATATCAACAGAAGTAACATGATCGAGAGCAAAATGAGAAAAGGGAAATTCATGACTCACCGGAATCAGAAGGTGTCTGTACACCAAGATGTTCCAGGTTCTTCCCGATAGGCTGATTCAGATGATAGCAATGGTCGCTTAGAGTGTTCCTGATATTGGTCTCTCTATGCACTTGACACTGATTTTCCTCCTCCTCTTTCCTCCTGTCATGGAACCTGACCAGCTGGCCAGTGACCTCGCTCACTGGAACAGCCTTGGTAACCGCGTCTGACATGCACTCGGACAATTTCTCGTGTATATTGATCTGATCGTGTCTGAAGAACGGGCCTTCGTCTTCTGTCTCCGTGTCGGAGCTCGAGCTTGGTGTTTCCGGTCTAGTTGAATCTCCGTCACTCTCCAAATTTCTTGTACGGCACTGTTGCTGATTGACCAAAGAATTTCCTATATGAGTTATGCCTGCCCGCGATATTAATACACTACGACCGGCCGGCACCTTTTTCTGCATCTGTGAGTTTTTCTTCGCGGGCAACGTCCTGTTATGCTCTTTACTGATGCACAGCCCAGCCCACATGCAATCATGATGACGTATCTTTCGTGACGCAAGGCAGCTCATTTTGTCGTAGAGCAAATCTGGTAGAACGCCATCGTCGAATGTGCGCTCGTGATATACGTCCGTATGGACGGCGTCCAATCGGTCCAGCGAGAAGTCAAAATCGAATTTCTTCCATATGTCGTCGGATACCACTGTCGTGGTATCCAAAGGGCTAGACTCGTCCAACAGGCCTAGATCAGAGCAATCCCAAACTGGCACCGGCATTTCGCCTGAAATATATGTAACGAATTTATTATTATCTTTTTTATTTCTCATAAATTACTAATAATTTCAATTGATATACTGATATTCAAATCATCCTCTGATTTAAAATTAAATTTAAAGTTTTTCTTTGTGTTAAAAAATGTTTAAATTTAAACTCGATTCTCAATTTTATATTTATACATTTTCAATTTGTTACAACCGTTAAATATTATTTGCATTATTTTTCTAAATATCATCATAAATCCATTTTCTTTATTATTATATGGACGATCTATAAGGATTATTTTTCAGAATCCTGAAACATAAATCACTATTTATGTCGATAATTTATTTTACAACCTAGCTATATTTTTGTGCTTATAAAAGTACATTTACTTTAGATAAAAGGTACTTTAGATATTATATCGGGTAGTAAAATGAGAAAATGAAAACTGTTATTTTTAATCGCACAAGAAAAATGGAAAATGAGTGAATTTTTATTGCAGGTTTTTAATGTCAATCACTCGATCGATCATCTATCTAAGGAAACTTTATTTCTTTTATTGTTACAACATGTTGCTTCTAGTGCACTGTAATGACTATTCGGTATTGCATCGCGTGTCGTAATGTCAACGCGCATTATCACGCGAATCACCGAAACGAATACAGTTAACGCTATGAAAATATGAACAGAGGTCGGAACTCGTTTACATGTATGCATTCGTACGTAAATAGTCGACCTTCTCTTGCAACGTATCAATTTGCACGTTATCCGCATATCGATAAAAAATGTCACTTAATCACACGACACAAACTAAATATTAATGATTAAAAAAAAAAAGAATCGATAATGATAATCTTAATCTTACTTTTAGTGCCATCGTTATCTTTCATAGATAAAAAATAATTATAAATAATAATAAAGACGTGAACTAATTTTATGAAATTTTAGTTATATATATAGAAAATTATAATTGAAAGTTTATAAATACAAAGCTTAGAAAAATAATTACAAATAAATTATATAGTAATGTATTACCAATGTAATGCATTGATAAAATAATGGTATATATATAAGAACAAGAAACAAAATTGTAAAAATGTAGATTTCTTGTTAGACTTCGATGGCATTATAAGAAGATTAACATCGAATTTTTATAGAGGTATTTTGACACTTACGAGATGAAAACACGTGGGAACTGAAAATAAAAGAAAAGAACCGGTACGAATCGAATTTGTTAACCTTCGAATAAATCACGACCCACCTCACGAAATGTCCCTAAAGAACGTAACTTTTTCCCTCCCTGCACGAGAGATCGTTATACACATCTTTCTCCGCAACACAAAACTAACAATAATTCATGATATGATTTAATCATCAGGTGTTGCACGAGACTCTTAAGATTTCGCACGACCTCAGATATGCAATGAACAGAGTGTCTAAATTATGATATAGTTATGTATATATATATTTGAGCTAAACCATTTTAAGAACAATAATCGATATTGATGTATATATATTAAGAATAATCGTGTGAGATTTATGATACGAAGAAAAGTCAATTTTTTCGCGGAGTGATATCGCTTGGCATACGTTAACACGTTGCACAGAGAGATTCGATATAAATCTACGCGATCACTCATTGTGAATGTGATCGTTTAAATGTTCCATCAAAGAACATAAGATGAATGTCGAGAGAGCTCTCAAATGATTATGATCACACACAACGAAAAGTCAAATGGTATGACGCTATATGGGCGGCTCTCGAATGACTCACAAGAGAATTCCAACGAAATTCGTCGGCTATATCGGTTTCGCGAATCTACAACACCGACAGAGCAATCAACTCTGCCTTTTATTGTCAATGGCCTAACCTAAACATTATATCCGCTCGATTAGGCCCACCTCAATGATGACAAGTAAATGCGCGCGCTTTTGCCAGTCGTTATCTTATTCCTGTACTGATCGTTCTCCGCGTGACAATTAATCGTTACATAACCTCGATTGTTACGACACTCGCTTTCGCGAGAAAAGTACGCATGCGTACGAAGTACGAATACTTCGATTTGAAGAGAAAAAAAAAGTTTTTTACAATGATTATCATAAAAAATCACAAGTCATCTCAAGAAAATATAAACGTTTAATATTTAGTAATGTAATGAAAAATAGTTATACGATTATGACACATAAAAAGAACTATCATTATGAATACATTAAACATTGTGAGGTTAGAAAGGTCAATTTAGAATAAAATATTAATAGAAAATCCACATATAATTTTTAATTCTTAAAAAAAAAAATTACACAATAACATAATTAATTCTTACACGAATAAAAATTAAAAAAAAATATTTAGAAAACATTGAAAAAAGAAATTTTAATATTGAAGAAAATTATTTTAAAATAATATTCCAAATATTGAAAATATAAATTAGTAATATGCGATACATTCTACAAAATGTTATTGCAACAAAAATGTTAATAACTGTCTTAGTTAATAGAGGATGTCTTATTTCGTTTATTTTTTTTTGACAAACGTGATTTATTACTAAACTGCGAATATATATACATTTATGACAATATGCAAAAATATACATAGATAAAAAAACACAATTTTAAAGTAACAAAATATAAAAATAAAATGCACATTATTTCAAATTATTAAGGAAGTAATATATATATATAATTTCATTTGATTATAATTCTTTATTAGTATCTGTAAAAAATATCAATTTACACAACTTCATATCTATTTATAATCTATTTATAATTTAAAGATAAAGAATAAAAACAAGATAAATAAATTGACTGAAATAGATTGATTAGTTTGAAAACTAAAAGAATTTCCTATATTTAAATATCTGTATTATTCAGCATTATTCTATTCTATTCTAATCCATAAAATTTAATACATTAACTCAAGAATTAGCTATTTTAATATGAAATAGCGATGAAGAATGACGTTTGAAGAACTGTCATTATAATTAAACAACAAAAATTTCCCCTTTATTAAGAATTTTAGGTTCCAATTATATATTTCTTTATAATCCATCATAGGATTAAATATTATAACAATGTTAAGATCGTGAAATTAAAACAAAAAAAAAAAAAAAAACAAAAAACGCACGCGTCGAAATTCGGTATATCTGTTTCTCATCTGATCGGTAAAAAAGATGATTCTGCGGGATATTTATGCGAAGAACAAACAAGAGAACGATTTCGCCGAAAAGCCAAACTATATATTGGTGTTAATATTTTGACAAGCGTTCGGACAAAGACGTTTGACGGTTAAACGAGTCTGTTCCACGTGAGATTCTTATCGAAAACCGCCGCGAGGAGGACCAAAAAATAAGCAACAAGGAGGGAAAAAAAAGTGAAAGGTGCAGAAATATCATGAGAGAAAAAGAGAGATAGAGACCGGTGGTCTTTGTGACTCGGTCGCCCGTGAAAAACGCACACCGTTGAAAAACAATGACACATTATCCGTCGTTCTTCCTTGTCCCTACTTTACCCGCTGAATCGAACAAAAGACGGTCGGTAGGGGAAATCACCTTCCTAGAACGGCCTTGGGAGCAAAAGAAAGCATCAACGTGTGTATAAACCTTCTCGTGGTACTCTCGTCGTAAGAGAGAAAAACGAGGGAAAAGAAAAGAAAGAAAAAAAAGAGGAGAAAAGAAAAGAAGCGGGATAAACTTTCGTTTAAACCGTTCTCGAAGCGTCGACCAAACACGCGCGAAAAAAGTGTTCCTCAACGAACAGGTAAACAGACAGAGGTAACAAAATATACAGAGCGCCCCAAGTGTTTTGGGAAAAAATGTCGGTAATATAATTTCTTGCGCGAATTCCGTCAAATTGTTGTATTTCTACCTGAGTCTCGTTACCAACAGGTAGATCTTCTTTCTTTCCAATTACATAACAGATACAATCACTTGCATCGCGAGTTTGTTATTAATAGATTACACTTTCACAAAAATCGCGTAGCAATATTTTTCATCGGTTTTAAAAACTCAATTTTACCTAATCGATGCACGAGAAAAATTATTGTGGTATATAAAACATACACACATATGTACATAAAATAGAAACATACGTAATTTATTAAATTCATATGCGAAATTGAATTGAATTGAACGTTAAACGAAAAAAGGAAAAAGAAGACAGAAAGCGAAAAATTGCTTTTTTTTTTTCGGGAAGACAGACCGATCTGATAAACCGGATAACTGCTTTCGTTTAGACAGGACTTTCGAAAATCTATATGTGCATGTATTACACGTACATTCATATACGTGTATAAGCACATTCCATGGCCACAAGAGCGTCGATCGATGGATCGAACTTTTCTGCCTACACGCGCCGAGCGAAACCGGTCCAACGGCAGCAGCTTTAGATATAGGTGGCGGGTATATGCATGTATGTGTGTGTCTCGAACATTATCGTTCAAGCGTGTAACGAGCTGACAGCTTTCCTACCGCACTCTAATTAACGATAGCTTTCTTCAAGCCGAAAGGACGTAGGACACCGGCAAAAGCGAAATGAAAAACGATCTTCCTTCCTCCATTTGTATTATATCCATACGGAAGTATACCCTATATACAAATTCTTGAAAACTAGACGCATACGCGCGCGTGCTGCAAACGTGTTGCATGACGTTGCGATAGAAAGTGCAACATATCGGTTAGCGTGCCTATCTCCGTATGACATATTTTCACATATATCGATTCCGATGGGATGTTATTTGATCATATCAATAACATCTCGTTTAATCATATTCATATAAAACAATTTCCCAAATGTCATGTATCACAATTGTTTCGATGAGATATATACAGAAAGATATAGATAGATTTTAAAACTATTTTTAAATTATATGGAATGTATAGAATTTGAAATCTAGAGGAAAAATATTTTTGAAATGTCAAATATTGGAAATCAATAGAACATTTAAAAAAAAATTAAAAAATATAATGTTGAAAAAAACTTATAGAAAATATCGAATTGGAAAAGTAATTTTAAATTATTTTTAAATTAATTATATTAAATATTTGTATCTAACATTGAAATCTTGGGATTTTAATGGCTTACGCATATACGAGAAAAAAAATCAAATATAAATTTCGAAATTACTTTTAATTTTGGATTTAATAATTGAATTTTAGACGATTCTTTAATTATTGAAAGTTAATTAACAAAGTTGAAAATGCGCGCGAAAATTTTATATCAAATTTTGGCGGTAAAACTAGACAAAAAACACGGACATATATGATAGATATTACAAATCGAATACGTATTTCGAATACTATTTATAGACGACAGAGATAAATTCAAACGAACCGGCTAACTGCCAAAGTAGAAATTTGTAAGTTAATACAAAATGTTCAGAGAATTTCTCTTTTCACGAAACAAACTGTTTCATCGATATTTATACTCAAAATTCTCGACGAATTGTAAAAACTATTAGATAAAATTTCGAAAACACGCCAAGCAGAATATTTTATACACGTTTTATATAATATTCGAAAAAATCGAGTTTATCTCTACATTTGCTAGTATATCAAAGATAATCTTGCGAACGATCTCGTTTCTTGCTGAAATTCCGGCTCGAACCGGTTATGAGTTTATGGCTTCGCGTGGAACTGTCAAAATTGGAAAAGAAATTAACGCAAACTATGAAATCTATCGTCTAATTTGAAAATTATCCATGATCATGTGAATTATCATTTCGAATCCGATATTAAAATTCACCGAACAAAAAAGAAAAAGATTGAATAGGAAACAAAAGGAAATAATTTCACTGTACTCACCTGTCGGCCACTTAGCGTTGTAACCCAAAAGAGAGATAGTATCCACTGTGGAACACACTTTGGCGCGAGTTCGAATCTCGCGCTAGAAACGAAACCAATAGAACGAATTAAGGCGCGTCCCGCCTCTTTTTCTTCTGCAAGGCGTGTCTATAGATTCCGAGATTGGCTGGTCTCGAGTAAGAGGACAAGCCACGCGAAGACGAGATGTTACGCGGCACTGAGCAAAAACCGAAATGAAAGAAAAAAAAATAAAGAAAAACGGCGCAGCTTCTTTCCGTTTCACCGTCCAGGTAAACGCGTGGAAAATGCGTGCACGAAGAGTAAATCCGTTCAGGCGAAACAGCCGCCGGTACTACTGCCGTTTGGCCATAAACGTTCCAGCCGTTTTCTTTTATTGTCGAGACTGTCGTACGACGAGATACTGCTACTACTACTTCTGCTGCTATATTCTACCAGGCAAAGAGAGAATTTCATTCTCGGCGCGATCCGTACGATAAGCCGGTGGCTCTAACTCTCTTTCTTGTGCACGCGTACGCTGATCGGCGGCGATCCGATCTTCACATTAAGGCCGGTTAAAGGCAACTACACCATTCGGTTCGTGCGCCTTCCATCTTCCGCAGGCATGCCCACCGCTACGGGACCCGGCGTCAGGGCCGTACCACTCAGCGTCGTGCCCCACTCTTCTTCCCTCACTACATACAGCCCTCGAATATTTAGCCGGCGAGTCGTATCGCTCGATAATCGCGTCGCTACTTAAGGACAGAGCCGAAGCTCTCTGACATAGAAGCGCTCTCATTCTATCTTTCACGGCTGTATACTTATATACCAATGTAATATACTATTCGCTATTACTAGTGAATAATTACCTTATCATTGCGTACGCGGTTATGATTGATGTTTCGTGATACGATAAGCGATAATCGACGCGGCTAAGAAATCGAGCAAAAATTTTCTTTTTATTTTCTAATTCTTGTTTTGTATTCAGTTAGCAATTGTAGGATATGACAGATGATTTATATTTCTTGTTGATATATAGTTGATATATAGTTTTTAACGATTTAAATGTTGGTGAATTATTCATTCATTTCGTAAATAGCAGAAGGTTGAATTTTATATGGTGGTTTTGTTATTTGGAAGATAAAAATAATAATAACGAAGGATGATAAATGAAAATAATTATAATATATGAAAAACATCAATATGTAATGAATTATATCGTATATAATGTTTATAAAATTAGATATTTTTTACACACGCACGCACAATTTCAATGTATACTATTATATGTATTTATAAAGAACAAATTATATGTATTTTATAAAGAACATATAAATATTTATTACTGAATGAATGAACTGAAATGAATATATGAAATAAATATATGCAATAATTTATGTTGAGGAAGAATTATTGAAAATTTTTGTAATATGTACATAAGTTTATGCACATTCAACGACGTCTTCATAACGATGAAAATTCATAGACCGTATTACATGCAAATTCATCGACATACTAGACAATATATCCATATGCAGTTGATTCCAAGATAAAGCGATCATTGTTTCTGACGAATACCGATCACAGTTTACCCCATGCTTACGTTAGACAGGTAGAGTTCTTTTGTACCATGTAGCAGCTGCTCGATCCGTGTAGTTGAGAGAATATGTTATGGTTTGATGTACGTCGTCTCGCATGAGTTTGTCATGGGAGAAATGTGGAGGCCACATGTGGAGCAAGCTTGTGGTTGGCAACCTGTCGGAACCTGTACGGATTTAATACTACAACCAGTGTAATATTAAGGATTCCACTATGTTGGCCCCCAACGCTCTCATAATTATTATTCCCTGGCAAAATTGTTCTACTCTTAGACGAATAACTATAAAGCTATTACAAATTATTTCTTCCATTATTTTTCTTTTTATTCGTTATTTTTCCAAAATTTAATCATTATTTTTTTTTTCCATGGTTCTATACGTAATCCAGTAATAACTTCCTCTTATATTCGTTTCCAAGGAGATTGAAACAATCATGTTCCTGTTATTTCGCGTTACGACGTGGTTGCCGCAATTTTTAACCGATATTACATAACGGGGCAAAGTTTATTGAAAAAATAACGGGGAAATAGTATTCAACTCGATAATATTCTTAGTCATCGTTTACTATAACGAGTCTTGTTTATATTAGTCATTTTAGTTGACTTTATATTGTTTGAATACAAGCAAGTTGGTTTAAAGTTGTCTACTTTGTGTATGTATCAGTAATAGGTATCTATAATAGCGTTAAAAATAATTATTGCATTGTCTGTGATTATAAGAAAAATTATGCATGAGTCATACAAAATAAATAAATAAATAAATAGAACCATAAGATAAATGAAAGTGAAATTGAAATTGAAATATTTGATTTTAAATATGATATATTTCGTATCTTTTATTATTATTAATTGAAATTAATATAAGAAAGTCTCTTTTCTTTAAAGTCATTGTTAATAATTGGTCTGTCTCGTAGTTAATTAGAGTAAAGAAATGAATTAACAGAGAGTCTTCTTGATGCATTTGCGTTACCGTTAAAATAATTAATTAGCTATAAAAGATAAAAGAAGTCGTAAAAAACTATCTCAAAAATTTTATGATTTGCTTAATTTAATATGTTCCCTTTAATCTAAGAAGAAATTAAAATATTGTCTTGTAACATCAAAACTGAAACTCGAAAGAATCAAATCATAGTTTTATTAAATTATCTATTTTTTTTTATCTAATGATTTCAATTTACTTAAATTTTATATAAACATTAAATAGACAAAAACGTTTTTTAAAGTACTTATTATTATTGATTGCGTAAAATTTTTCTTTTCTTTCTTCTCTTGAGAAACAATGCTACACGTGACTTTGTCTTCTATTCGAGGTATTTATTAACTTAAAGAAATTTCATGTTGGCCATGTTCGAGAAGGTTGCTTGTAACGTTCGTAGCCCTTGACACACAATGTTGTGCAATTCGAAGCAGTACGGAAACCGGCAGCTGATAATGTCTCATCGTTACGTCATTTCCAGCAATAAAGGGTTAGATTTATGACAGGCTTCGATAAACCAAGATTATAAATTTCCCTTGTTATTAGAATTACAGTTATCGTTCACAATGGATCCAAAGAATTATAAATAGTGTACATTCTACTTACAAAGGTGTTAAAACTTTAACTCGATGACTCTTGCATATGACTTATCGTAATTATTCATCGAGTTGATGAAAACAATTTGTTGAACTTCGTTTAATCCTGAATCCCTATTAATCATATACATATATAATATTCTTTGAAAATATATAATATAGTCCAAGTTTAAGTAGGTTTTATATGAAATAAGATAAAAAAAATGATAATTTGAAATATAGAAATAAAATAAATAAAAATATATTTTATTTTAAATATGAAAAATATTTTTATGAACAAATATTTTGTTTCAATAATCAATTCAAGCTTAATATAATTATATTTTTAACAAAATACTACTGTAGAATAATATATATATATATATATTCTTTTCAATTCTTGACTTCCAATTTACCTTTCTAATTTTTCAGTTTGCCACGAAATAAAATATTTAATATAATAAAATATATTTGATAAAATTCTATCTAATGATTTTAAAATTCATATTATCTTTATTTTATTAAGAGCAAATTAAATATACAATACCAATGATATATTTCGAATTAAATTGTATCAAAAATGAAAAAATTCGCTATCGTTAGCTATTAAAATTTATTTGCATTATCATATCCAGTATGATATTCATTTTTATACCATTTCCAAAATTTTTTATCGATCCTTTTTAAATTCGAGTGACAATTCAATTTTTTATTAGGGCGCTGAGACTGTGTGCAACGGCACTGAACCGAGTCCGTGTGGAGGGGCGTGCCCGCCCAATTCTCGTTGCCATAATGTTGCATATATTGCAGAAATTACGTCGTTTTGTTTACAAAAAGCTCGATACTGATTGTCCATGATACTAATCAAATATACTCAACAAGTTCGAGTGTCTGTCGTGACGTACTTCAAGAGATTTTCGGCATGGAATATCGGCGTTGCGGACTATTTCTTGTCGCGTAGTACATATTGAGCGTTGCGGTAACGCAGCATCGACGCCTAGTAACAGATTCGAGTTGCTCGTACGCAAGCGTCATTGAACAAAAACTTCTTTACCAATAAGTAATGTATTTGATTAAAATTCTTTTCATTTATCGTATTAAATGAAGTAAGTCGATCCATTTTCTTTCTATCATTATATTCGAGCTTTAATAAAAGCTTTTATTTTATTTTAATTTAATTCTATTCCATTCTTTATTCAAGTTTTATTATATAAATATGTTTTATTATATAAATATGTTAATTTTATTATATGTAGAAATTTTATATTTATAATTATTCCTGTTTCGTATTTCGTATTTTAAAAGTTTTATAATTATTAATATAATATAAAGTTTCATCAATTCTAACGACTAAAATAAAACGAAAAACGAGCAAATATCTCGGGATAAGATTTCGGTTTCTAATCTAAAATGCTCACAAATCACGTGTCGAAGAGGGAGCTCGTTAGGATCAATAATTTTTTCTTAAACGACTCTAAATACGAGTAGTTCGTATTTCAAGCCAGTTATTTATGCATACGTATATTTAGCTATTACCAAAAAAATACACGCTATCTATGGTGTTTCGTTACGAGTTCCCGGTCAAAAAAATATAGGGACCAAAGTCTGATAAGTAGTTGGAGGTCAGATAACGAATTTAAAGATTTTTATCTGGATCCGTTCAACAGATCACGAGACCTCTTTCCTTTGTCGAGTCTTGCCGCCTCAACGTTTAAAAACTCACCCCCATGTCCTCCCATTAACATTCGAGGATGTTTTGAAAAAATTTATCGACAGAGAGGAAACAGATCGTCTTGAAAAGGAACGGTTCGAAATAGGATGTCGCGATAGCGACGATGAAATTTAGTAAATATTGACACGTAGTCGAAGTGGTCAAACCTTGGTGGGCCATATTTCGAATGGTCGAGGCGGATTTTTCTTTAGGCACCACATTGTTTAGACTAGGGCCGTCAATAAGAACGCGGCAAAGAGGCAGATCATCCTTGACAGTTCACACTCGACTGGTTCGTACGGAAGCACCGCGGTATTCGGCTTCTAAAGTCGGTATGAAACTCGATAACTTTGAAAATCGATCCAGTTTCAGAGGTTGCGAAATCGTCCGCCCTCCTCGGGAACCAACCAAGCTATCTCGTAGAAATCTGACTTTTGCGTCAAATCGACTTACGAATTCCCTTGCAGAAACGATTTTTTATCGTATAAAAATGTGTGCTTGGTCGAGATTTTGATTTTCTCGGTAGAATCGTGCTTAGGGAATTTGGTGAGTATTCGTTGTTAGTTTCTTTTTTTCTCTGGATCGAATAACAAAGCTTTTTTAATTGAGGTGCTTTTTCAGAATCAGATTTGTTTTATTAAATGAAAGTTCATGTGCATTTTTATTAATTGATAATTATTAAGTTTATAGTAATTTTCTCAATTATATTGTAAAATATATAAGAATTTAATTTGTATTTATATTTAAAATATTTAAAAATCCCAA